TTGAAATCTTGTTGGTTTTAATTTTTTATCGAGGTCCCTGAAATTAATGTGATAATTTATTTCTATGTACGTTACTATATTTTTTTAAATTAAAAATTAGAAATTTTAGTTGTTTATATAAATTAGATTTTAAATTTAAAAAACCATAATTTGTGGGATTAAAAATATTAAAATATAAATATACTATTGTGTGTGTGTATATAAACATGGGTACATTCATCAAAATTAACCAAAAAATTTATTGTATCAAAACATGGGTACATTCTTCTAAATCACAAAAAAAAAAAAAAAGATATTAGGCTTAATAACATTAGTAAATTTCTTCAATTCAACTTGATATGGATACATTTAAAATCAAAGAAAAAAGAATGTACCCATATACGTTTAAAAATGGATTAGAAAAAAATTGAATAGATTTTATATATATAAAAAAAAGAGGGTACATTTTAAGATTAAAAAGTTTTACATGAATGGGTACATTTAGCAAAATAAAAAGTACAAATAAAAACAATATATATGGGTAAAAATACAAATAAACTTTAAAAAATATGGGCACAAAAATAAATTAATATATGGGTACAAATTAAAAGTGAAAATAAAATTGGTACAAGTTAAAAAAGAATTACAAATTAAAAATGGGTACAAACTAAAACTAAAAATATATGATAAAAAATTTAGTCATAAATATAAATATACTAATTGTAACATTTTTAACATTAAATGAATGTATTTAGAAATAAAAAAATATTTTATTATTGAAATAATTAATGATGTTATTAATACCCAAGGACCTTTATCAAAATTTGAAAAGGAATAAGATTTTAATCAATGAAGTAGTAAAAAGAAGGATGAGAATCTAATTTTCCCTTAATTTTATTAGTTTTAGTCATGTTTGGCAGGAGGCTAATTATGTCGGGAAAACATTTAGCCAACTATGCTCACTCTATCCCCTATGATGTAAGGACCTAGATTGTCTGCCCTCCCCCATCCCATCTCCTTCCCATGCCCTCCTATTTCTGTGGTCACGGTTAAACCACGTAAACATTTTATATTGATTTTTTTTATAAAAATAATAAAACAAAAAGTAATGGGAATATAAAATGTTGACGTAATTTAACCGTGACTATATAAATATGAGGGAATGGGAATAGTATGGGATGGGGATGGCAAACAATCTAGGTCCATGATTGTCACAGCCCGTCCCGAGATTCTATTTATCGAGGTTGTGAAATGACGAAAGTACCCTTGATGGTTACTAAGGTATGTGTGTGACATGTTTTGAATAATGTATATTTTCCTAAGTTTTGGAAAATTTAAGTTGGATTAAAGGATGTGTGTATATTTGTGTGGTTAGGGAATTAAAGAGTGACTTGTTTTGGGTGGACCACACACACACACACGGGACACCTCATCTATCCCTTCCCCGAGCCCTCTCTCTCCCCTCCTTCTCAGTTCTCTCTCTCTCTCTCACTCGAACCGTACGGATAAGAACCCAAAATCCCTCAAAACATCACGGATCGACGCCAATAAGGTGAGTTTCTTCATCCTTACAACCTCCTGAGTTGAATGGTACCATTTTTGGAACTTAGAACCTTCGAAATCACGTGAAATCCGAACCCCATTTTGAAATCACTGTTCATGCACACGTGAATTGTTGAATTTCAAGGAATTCTAAGCTTACAGCCAAGGAAGCTCGGAGTACTTAGTTTGAAGATTTTGGACGTCGGGATCGTAGGGTTCGAAGTTGGCCGGTTTTCTTGGATTTTCTCCTGTGATATTTCGTAATTTTTAGAGCCTTAAACTAGTACAACGTGATTCTACACGCTTAGGGCTTCAATTTGATATAAAATGCGTGAAAAATGATTGAGAAATGACGGAGAACAAGGAGATTGAAAAATCTCCAGTTTTCCGGTGACTGGCAAAACCAGTCCGGTGACTGGAGGAAGAAGGAGACGCGTGTAGAGGCGCGTGGGTCCGTGCCCCTCCCGACGCGTGGGGGCGCGTGCGGCCTCGAAATTTTTTTCTAAAAATACCTCGACATCCGTGACGTCGAGTAGGTCACTGTGGTATATTCATATACCCAAATTGAACATCGTATGAGAAGTTATTATGAATTGTCGGTTATGTGCTTTAAATAACGTTGTTTTAGTTGTTTCGCATATAGGTGAGACCTATCCCGAGGACGAGCTCGTTCAAGGACGTCACGGGGGTTATGACCCTTCGACTTACCAGTGAGTGGGCAGTTATTTTCTGTTATTACCTATATACTACTGAATTTCCCAGAAATTGAATTTAAATGAAAGTATGTTTTTAAAATGCCATGCATGCATATTGTGAATTATATGAATTAGTAATTGATGCATATATATGTGAAATGGTGTTGTGAACGCACAAGTGAGTATCAAGTGAGTTTTATGTTATTCATGTGAACCATCGATGATGTGAATTGTGTTGAGAGCTCATAACCTGCACCCTTGGTGTTAGTGCTTATATTATTCACTCGCACCACACGCTCACCTTGGATCCAAGAAGGTGCATGTCGTAAGACCATGAGAGGGTTCCGACATGTTGTACAGACCATAGAGTGGTTCCGATTGTAGGTGATTTGAGATTATTATACAGCTGTTGATAAGAGAAGCACTAGAGCGTATTCTTACACCATTCTTATCGTACAGACTACTTCAGGTAGTTCTGATTTATGTGCAGAGTAGTGCCGTACAGGTCACTGTGGTGACTCCGGTTGGTTTGGATATTGAGCTATGGAATTAACCGTACAAGACCAACTGCAAGGTCTCCGGTTGATTCATTATGTCACCTGTTATATTGATGCATTCTTAATCTGTTATTGACATTTATTACATGGCATACTTTCTGGTTTTGATAAAGATTAGTGATTTGAGATATTTGAAGAATTATATGCATATTATGTTATTTTCTGGGAAAGTATACAGGTTTTACAGCGAGGGGTTAGAAATGTTATTAATCGAAATGTTTTTAAAAGCTTTGTTTTACTGACCCACTCAATTTTGTTTTGCGCCCCTCCAGGTTCTAGTTAGCAGTTGTTGGTGGCCCATGAGGATTCCCACGGCGTACTGACATACTACATAAATGTAGGACTCACCTTCGGGTGTTGTAATTTAGTTATGGTCCTACTTGACTGCACCTAGTACTTATGCTTGAATATGTGTGTTTCACACTTAAAACTTACTCTAGCATGCTAGTTGGACATTATTGCTAGTAGTTGGTTTTTATTCCTTCGTAATTCTCGTATCTTTTGCTTCCGCACCGCGCTTTTGGTTACGTCACGCTCATGTGGTGGCTAGCACCCCTTGATTATAGGATCGGGATGTGTCAATGATGAAATTTGGATTTGTACCTCCCTTCATTCTAAACTATCGTTATTAAATAATGCTTTTATGTACTGATGGCCTTGGTGATTCTGTTTTTTTTTTTTTTTTTAAAGGCAATAAATTAGTTTTTATTAAAGGAAAAAAAACAGTAACCATGCCACGAACCATGCCACTGGGGCCTTGGTGATTCTAAACTATCGTTATTAAATAATGCATTTCACATCACTGAGGATTTGAATCACTTTCCACTAACCATGCCACGAAGAACACACCGAGATCATTCTGCAGGTGTCTCTTGAGTTGTGACCTAAACAACTGATGGTTAACCAAACAGTCAACCTATCAAAAAGAATAAATTGGCCAAATGACAAAATATTGGGACGACATTCGAAATTGTTTAACCTCGTAGCTTAAAAACCGGCAAGTTTTCTAAAAAAAGAAAAGGTGCGTGGTAGCAAAGATCTTTGAACTTTACTTCATATTTAGTTTTTTTTTCTTGAATTCTCATATTAGTTTCTTCCGTCTTTTAACTTAATTAGCAGTGATCATTATGTCAAATTTGTCTTTTTTCCATCTAATTTAAGGGTATAATGACCCATATAGAAAATAATTCTAATTTATTTAAAAGGAAACTTGGCTTATTAAGGTCAAGGAGGAGTTACTCCTCAAAATATTTAGTAACATAGTCACAAAATTTTGTACTTATAATTGATATGTTACAAATCACTATGTAAAGATCACCAATAAAAAAAATCAATTAAAACTAAGATCGTTTCGTCAATTCCTAAGGAGTTCCGATCATAAATACACAGTTTATGAATAGGTCATGAGGTAATAAAGGGGAGTTCCTTCTCAATCTTTGAGGAGCCAAGTCTATCTCCTAAAAAAAATCAATTTTTTAATTGTTTGGATGAACTTCCTATTTTATCTCTCAACTTAACATAAAAATTGACAGAGTTAATGAAAAGACTACTAGTATACAAATGACATAATTCGAATATAGTAGAGTTTAGAGACGAAAACTTAACTCGTGGTATAGATCAGAAATTTTTAGGACAATTTAGCCAAAAAAAAAGAATAAGAGAGTTCCTTAAAACCCCTAAGAGGCCCACTTAGGTAATTTAAACTCCTTATCAGCCCAGACTCCAGAGCCCACTTAATACTTATTTTGTACCTGGCCCACACCCTTTCCATCTTTATCTTCCTTTTAAGAAAAAATAAAAATAAAATAAAAATCCATCATTGGGACAGTTATGTGTTTCTTTTGCTTTTCTGGCTGTGACAGTTAGGTTCTGTCCATTTTAAAAGTCAGTTATGACCCCCCTCCAAAACCCTCTACACTTCCTCCGATGCCTCCACCTGTCTCATCCAACGGCATAAATTCCATCTAACACATCACTCACGGTTACTTCCGCGCACCAAACTCTCAGAAATACAAAATTCCCGCAAAAAAAAAAAAAAAAGCGGGACTCGCGGTTCCAAGTCACATCATACGTGTCATGGCGCCTGGTGGGTCAGATAATTGCACACCACGCGGCGCAATTTGGTTGGCCAAAAGAGTGGGCCCGTAGGCTTTATCCACCTGCCGTCTCGTTTCTTCCAAAGAAACCCATTCGTCACCTTTTATTTATTTATATAAATAAACTTGGCATTTTATCTGAGTGTCGTCCCTCAAAAGTTGAATCTGGAGCGCGAGCCAGGCTTTTTCATTTCGGTATTTTTGCCGCTCTGCACGTTTTCACCCGTTTCTCGAAACAGAATTGAAAACCCTAACCCTTTTTCGCATCCCGCGCTATTTCCTCTCGCAGATCTCACTCGACAGAAACACCCCTGATTTGTTTTCTTGAATCTCAGATCCGCAACTTTCCGAATTCGATTCGGAAACGCTTTGGATCTCCGAGCTCCTCTTTCTTCTATCGGATTTGGATTTGGATTTGGATTTCGTAAGAGAAGGTTAGTTTGTTAATTTTTACTTGAAAATTGGTGATTCCGATGTTTGTTTTCGTTTTTCGTGTTTTTTATTCGATTCCTTGCTTTTAGGATTAAAAACTGTTTTTGAATTCTGGGGGAAAAACTGTGGTTCGTGATCCGAGCTCCGGTAATTAGGATTCGTTTTTGGAATTAGAATTCTGATTGAATGCCGTCTCCGTATCACAGTGCTTGTTATTGGAAATTTATTGAATTTCGATTCGTGAGTGGAGTTGTAGTTGGATGGGTGAAGAGGCAATTTGTGTGGGGAAATTGAGAGATGGGGAAGTGGAAACAGAAAACTCCCCGAGAGCTGAATTGAAGCGAGAGCACGAGTGTCTCGGAGATGATAGCGCGGCAGATTCGTTTCCAAACAAGAAGCAAGTGAAGGAGCATTCCAATGAGGATATACGTTCGGAAGTATCAAACCCCGTTGTGTCTCCGAAAGAGAATGGCTCCACTTTTCAGGACATTACTAGCCAACCTGCTGAATTGGTAAATAATAACCGAACAGAGTGCGCTGAAGTTGAGTCCTCATGTTCGGGGAATCCAGGCTCTGAGGAGACCTTGAGCGATGGACAGTGTACCGTGAATGATAATTGCCAAATTGAGAATGAGACGAATGGTGATGTATTGACCTCTCGGGTTGTGGTTGAAATTCCTAAGCTTGCCAGTTCATCTGGGATTCGCAAGATTACGTTCAAATTCAGCAAGAAAAAGGAGGATTGTGACTCTTCACATGGAAATGCTTATGAGGAGTCCGGAATGGACTTTCAGGCAACGGCTAGTACAAGTAGGGAGTTTCCAGCAAGTTCATATTGGAGGCAGTGTGCTGAATCCGGTAACTTTCATCCTTGTGCTTCTAATTGGGAGTTGGAAGGTTCTACTAATGTAGTTCCGAGCAGCTATCCTTCAAATGTTAAAAAGCTATTGTCCACTGGTATTCTTGATGGGGCTCGAGTGAAGTATGTTTCCTCCCCGCCAAAGGTACTATATCAAATATATTGTTTTTTCTCTGTTGGATGTAATATCTGCTTGCAGTGAATATTTATTTTCTGTAGAGGTTCTAACATAAATTTTGGCAGATAGAGCTACATGGAATTATAAGTGGCGGTGGTTATTTGTGCGGCTGCTTATCATGCAATTTCACCAGGGCAAGTTTACTCACTGTTTACATTGTTTTGAGTTTAAGTGCAATATTGCTTATAGGCTTATAGCTAATTGATTCAATGAAATGAGCAGGTACTCAGTGCATATGAGTTTGAGCAGCATGCTGGTGTCAAGACTCGGCATCCTAATAATCACATATACATGGAGAATGGGAGGCCAGTTTATAGCATCATACAAGAACTGAAGACTGCTCCTCTAAGCAGTCTGGATGAAGTGATAAAGGATATTGCTGGTTCTGCTCTCAACGAAGAGTCCTTCCGGATTTGGAAAGGTAATTTTTAAGCAGCAACACTTTTCTGAGTTTTATTTTCATTTCCAAAATAGCTCTTCTTCCAATAAACCTTTTAAGATAGCTCGTCTCCCAATTATTGAATCAATACTTGACTCACACATATAAGATTTGTGGACCTGCAAAAGCGCAAATAACGTTAGACCAAATCCATATCCACTTAGGTAGGATCTCAAGTAGGGGCTCAACACAAAATGGCGTATGCTCTGCATCAAAAGCTTTCGCACTTGATCACACTACCTTTGTTTGGGAACTGAATGAGCGATTCCCATAGGATGATGATTATGATGTGTATATATGTTTTGGACAGTAACTATTATATGAAAATGAAGGAGGATGGGAAGGAAAGTGGTTGGGGAAGGAGGGGGAGGGCTTGTCAGAAGAAAACTTCATTGCTTGGTTTGAGCTTGATTCCAAGTCATGTTTAATTTCACCATCATTTTTCTCAACTTCCTTAGACAAATATCATATATCTCAGATCCAGAAAATCTGACATTCATGAAGCTCATTTGTCATGTGCTTGATGAGATTTTGAGGGTAGTGTAATATAATCAGATGAAAAGTTCACTAATGATAGAACATTTTAACAAATTTTGGGTTTTCAAAATGCTTATGTTGGAATACTGGAAGTGCTAAGGAAAAAGCGATCAACTGAAGGGAAACAAAATTGTGTCCAGTTGATATATATGTTATGTTAATGTGATATTGAGACCCTAATGTTCCTTTTTTTATATATATAAAACATTCTGCAGCAACTCTTTATTGTATTGATGGAATGGCTGAAGTGGAGAAAAGACATCGTGTGAAGCTCCCTAAATTGCCTCATCCAGTTCCCAGGTAATAAACTTAACACATGGTACACTGAATATAAGTCCATCATTAAATTTGTTAGATTAATGTAACGGTGATTGAACTTAATTTAATTACAGGCTAATGGAACATTTTAGATTCTTTTACCATTGTCTTTGTCATTCAGATTAAGATAACTTGTTTTGTGCATGAAAAACTGAAACTGTATATGCTGTGCAGACCAAGCTTCCATGCAACTATGAACCAGAAGAAAACTGCTGAAGGTGGCAATAGGAGAAGGTTCACCCCATCCCTTTGCCCCCTTTTCTTATTTTGATTCTTTGTGAGTTTTTTTTTTTTACAAGATACTGTCAGGGTGAGTTTTGTTTGATTCAGAAATTTCTGCTGGTTGATAGGGATAATGATCTTCACCGGTTACTATTTATGCCAAATGGACTTCCAGATGGAGCTAAATTGGCATACTATGTCAAAGGGCAGGTAATTATATAGATATAGTTATCATGATGATGCTGGTTTCAGGTGTCAATGCCTGTAACTTTTGATCTTTAAATGATTTGATGCTTTCATATTCCCAGAGATTGCTTGGTGGCTATAAGCAAGGAAATGGGATAGTCTGTAATTGCTGTGACAAAGAGGTAAATACTGAGCTGCACAGACCACATCAAATTTGAGTCCTGCATATTGGTCTAGCCCCTCCTTCCCCTTTCTCTCATGTCAATCTTACTCTTTATATGTAAACAGATAAGCCCTTCACAGTTTGAAGCTCATGCTGGAATGGCTGCAAGGCGTCAACCGTGAGTAGCTTCTAAAGAGCTTTGGCTGCTGTTCTAGTTTTTTAGTGTGTCAAGTGTAGATAATTTATTTCATTTTGCAGCTACCATCACATCTATACTTCCAATGGATAGTTGTTTAGTGTGTCATGTGTAGATAATTTATTTCATGTTGCAGCTACCGTCACATCTATACTTCCAATGGATTGACACTTCACGATATAGCCATGTCATTGGCCAATGGGCAAAACCTGACAATTGGTGGCAGTGATGGAAATGATGATATGTGTGCTGTGTGTGGACATGATACAGGGGATTTGATTTTCTGTGATGGATGCCCTCGTGCTTATCATTCAGGTTGATATTGTTTCTAATTTTTGGTACTTGATTTTAGTTTTGGATGTATACATTTGTTCTGTGTCCTTTAAGTCTTGCTCATCAACATTTTAGATCACATTTTGATATTCCATTTTGTTCTTTCCCCGGTTGAACTGAAAATTTAGTGGTTTGATGAATGATTTTTGATCTACATCACTGTCTTCTCAATCTAATGATAGGAAGTATTGTCCCCATGCTAATATTACTCATGTTTGAAAAAAAACAAAAATAATATATCAATTCTTTTGGTGGAAACAAAGTCATCATATATATTGATGTTAATAATTTTAATATCCCTATGAATCAATCAAGTTAGTAGTTGTTAGGTGTTTCATTTTTTTTTTTTTGGGTCTAACTTTGTTTATATTGCAGCTTGTTTGGATTTACCATTGGTTCCTCAAGGTGATTGGCATTGTCCAGATTGTAGAGATAAGTTTGAACCTGGTAAAAAGGCTGCTGCTGGGGAATCTTCAAATATTGGAAGACCTATTGTAATACGTTTGACACGGGTCTTCAATGCACCTGAGTATGAAATTGGTGGCTGCGTTGTTTGCAGGTTGGTTCCTCTTGTGTATAAATTCCATTCATTTCTTGTGTGCATTTTAAGCAGTCTGACATGAATGACGGTCTTCACGAAGTTGGTTAAATTTTGAGTGTCACATCATGCTCAACACCCATGTCTACAAACTATTTTGTTGGAAATTTGGTACCCTGGTTTCTAGGCAATTTCTTGCAATATATTTTTTTTATAATATCTCTTGAGGACTCTTGCGCTATAATTTCTTTACTTGATGCTTGCCATTTGGTTATCACTCATAGGTGCTAACGTATTATTTTGTATTTTTAGGAGCCAAGATTTCAGTGCAGCTTTGTTTGATGAACGAACGGTTATAATCTGTGACCAGGTATGACTTAACATTTTTGCTCTTTTGATCACATGCAACGAGAGTTTGTCAAAATTTTCTCTCTTTAGTCATCTTTGTTTTATTCACCTCTCCCAAACCCTGCGTAAAGCGGGAGCCTTGTGCATTGGGTACGACCTTTAGTCATCTTTGTTTTATTCTTACCATTGATTCTTGTTCAGTGTGAGAAGGAGTTCCATGTGGGTTGCTTACGGGACAGTGGATTATGTGACTTAAAAGTATGTTCTGAATGTTGTGGTGGTTAAATTTTTTAAATTTTCTGGGATGCTAATTTATATTTTATGCGTCTTACTGCAGGAACTCCCCAAAGATAAATGGTTTTGTTGTGATGACTGTAATAGGATTCATTCAGCTTTACAGAATTTAGTATTCAATGGAGCAGAGCGTGTTCCAGCTCCATTATCAGATACAATAATCCGGAAGCATGCAGATAGAGGTTTGCTTATTGATGGAGTGGCAGATGTTCAATGGCGAGTTTTCAGTGGAAAGAGTCGCTATCCGGAACACCTACCCTTCCTTTCAAGGGCTGCTGCTATTTTTCGAGTAAGTACATATATGTGCGTTGGAATTTCTACCTTATTCTTTTACGCTCTTTGATGCATTCCTATTAACGTATGGCGCTGAACTTGGACTTGGTGTTTTATTCTTTCCCATTTGTATGTTTAAAATCCCCAAAGAAGTAGAATTTACTTAGAACTGGTAAGTTATGTTTCAGAGCATCAAAATTTATACAGGATGAATATATTAAGGGAGTGGCTTCTCTCATTTATCACTTGGCGTTCTAGATTAGGCTTCCTATCTAAGTTTTATGTATTTTTCTGTTACTTGTTAGTTGTCAATTGTGTATATACCATATGTTGTCACTTAATTTGGTTGTACGGACAAATTTATGCTGAATAGTTATCAATGTTGTCACCTTCAAATTGATTGTGCTCAATTGGCAGGAGTGCTTTGACCCTATTGTTGCACAGTCTGGTCGCGACTTGATCCCTGTTATGGTATATGGGTAAGCGGTGGTTTTTAATTGTTCCGCTGATTTTTAGTTTTTTGTTGCTTCCTGTAATTAGGAATTTTTGTGTAGCGTTTGTTCATCCAATGTAAATTTCTATGACTAATATTATGAAATCAATTATTTTTCCCGGCATGTTTCAGGAGAAATATTTCAGGTCAAGAGTTTGGAGGCATGTACTGTGTTGTTTTGATAGTGGGGTATGTTGCTCCTCTGGTGTTAGTGCGGATTGTAGTATTTGATGGTTTTGTCACACCATTTCACACTAGTAATAATTTTCGTTTATGTCCAGGTCTGTTGTTATATCTGCTGGTCTCCTTAGGGTTTTTGGTCGGGAGGTTGCTGAGCTTCCGATCGTTGCTACTAGTAGAGAACATCAAGGAAAAGTGAGTATGATTTGGAATCTGCTCTTGTTTATTTGATATACTTTAATGTTTTTCCTTTTCTATGAAAATTACCCTTTGTTTGAAGTTTGACGTCATTGTTTTTTGGTGTTTTTAGGGTTACTTCCAAGCACTATTTTCATGTATAGAGAGGTTACTTATTTCCCTGAAAGTGGAAAAACTGGTTCTCCCCGCGGCTGAGGAAGCCGAGTCAATCTGGACGAGGAAGTTAGGATTTAGAAAGATGAGAGATGAGCAAGTAAGTGTATACAGTTATTTGAATTGCAGATAGTGCGGAGAGTTAGAGAGAAATTGATTTTTCTAACTCGGTATTACAAAGCGGGCTGTTCTTGTTTAAACTTTTAACATTAACAGCTTAATTTTTTTTCTTACGTTCCAGTTATCGAAATACATGAGAGATGTGCAGTTGACAATTTTCCGAGGGTCAATGCTAGAGAAGGCAGTGAAGTTGACGGATTGAAAACTTGCCAATCTCCCGAAGTTCCGCACGGCAAAATTAGATGTAGAAAGTGTTTTATTTGTGTTGTTTTTTTTTTCTCATATCTTTTCAGTTAGCGCTTGACGCCTCCTGTAATATAGCTGCTATTTTTAGTTACGCTGGTGATTCGCCTCTCCAATAAGCATCAGTTTGAGGATTTTAGAGAGTAAAAGAGGAAGAGGAGTAGGAACAATGTATGTAAAAAGAGAAGAAAAGAAATTGCATGCTGACCTTTTATCCTGCATGCATGCGATGCCACATTTGTTTTTGTTACTGTATGACGACATTGTTTGCCATAATTCCCATTTGAACGGTTAATTTGCTTCTAGCACTTTTGGATTTAAAAAAAAAATGACACTAACTGGCAACTAAAGGGCAACATATCATGATTCATGTACGATTATTTCTTGTTTAGTGTTTTTTTATTATCAGTTTTTGTTAAACATTAGCGATCAGTTCTATTTGTGTATATTTTCCAAAACTATTAAGATTTGTTTATGCTAGATTAGGCTACAATTGCATTTCACAAAAACATGAATCTGATTGGATTTGTAATTGGTGATTCCAATATTACATTCCCAAAAACTTCCACATCCAGATATTTTTGAGTGCGACTCAACCACTTGACCATCCCACCATCTAAACCTTCATTTTGTGTTATTGGGGACATATTCGAACTTTATTTATTTATTTATTTTTATGAATAAACAATAGTGTCCACACTAAGAGAGAAAGGGTAGGCTTAGCCTCTTAATGAGCTATTAATAATGTGATTCAAATTCGCTATTGACGAGAATCAAACTTAAGATCTCTCACTTATAAATGAAGAGGAATATCACTAAACAGTAGTACTAAGTGGCATTCGAACTTAATTAAACTTATGACACTCGTTTTTGTGGAAACCTCCATTGGGCCCGGTCGGGCCTATGGGTTTTGCACAAAGTATAGGAGCTTCTGCAACTGCCCCCACCCGACCCGAACCTCTTTACTCGTTAAACCCTCAACCCCCAAATCCCCAGACTCTGTCATCACACAGTCCATTGAAGTCGGATCACCTCAAATGGCGTTCATCTCCGCCTTCCGCCGCATCCACGGCGGATCTTCCTCCGCTCTCCATTCCCAATTCGCAGCCATTCGTCACAATTCAACTCTCACATCCCCCAGGCTGTTCATCAGCGGTACATTTCGATCTCACCCACTTCGTTAATTGCTTTCTGTTCTTCCCTGTTTGCGAAATCCAGTCGAACCTGCAGAAACCCATGTTTTTTTTTTTTTCATTTTTTCGATAATTCGTTCGTTTTCAATTGATTTGTTAAAGGTTCCATCTTTTTTGAAAATTGGCTAAATTGATCAGAAATCAAACCCAATTTCTGGAGTAATTAAAATTAAATATCGATGAAACATTGACGACATAACGGTCAATGATTGACGATATAGTGACTCTATATTGACGACATACTGAAAACTGATCATTCGAGCAATGGGGATTTAAAAAATTTCATCTTTGCCAATTTCCCGTATTTTTTTCTTATTTTCTGCTGCTTTGTTAAAATTGGTTGTGATTTCCACCAGATGATGGGAGTTAATATAATTTGGTGCTTCTTAACAGTTTAGTGTATGTTTGTGGTTTATAAACGATTAGGCCTTTTGTAATTGAGTAGTCTCGTGTTGTGATTGGCTCATATTTTAAGCTGGCAACAATGAAGTGACCCATGTGTTTTCGGCAGTGGATGATTTGTGCAATTGTGCATGCTTTGCATTTAGTGGAAAAATAATGTGGTGCACTTTCGGATAAATAGTGGAAGACATGTTTGCTTGGGATTCTTTCCACTTTGTCCTTGTTTTGGTTTCCCATTGGAATGCCAGGGCTTTGAGTTTGGTCAAAAGGCAAAGCAGAAAGTAGGAGCATCATGATGCATCATGATTATGTTTGTAAAGGAAGGAAAGTATATTTTTTTTCTTTGTTTAAAGGCAGAAGCAGGGCATTAGAGAGAGTGAGAGCATTCGGCTCTCCCATGGGAAAGCATGGGCATGGGTGAGAGAAAAATCAAGAGAGCTAGAGTGAAAAGTATTCTAGTGAAAAAACTCTTGGGGTAGAGTGAGGCTCTTGGGAAAATTCTATGAGTGGGTGTGCAAGGGATGCGGGATTGGGTTATGTCGATTTAACTCATGTGTACTTGTACTGTTATTCTCATAGTGAAGAGCAATATCTCTCCGGGGACGTAGGCAGAATTTTTTGCCGAACCTCGTAAATTTCTCGGTGTCTTTATTTCTTGTATTTTATTCTGTTTAACTGAGTGTGATTTTGGTGAGGTTGTAATCTGAATCTCGTTTCCGCACTAATGAACGGACCAAGGCACAACAATTGGTATCAGAGCATCGTTGGGGGCTTTGGTTCGTTGGAGGTCCAGATTTGTTGTTCACCGTGGAATTTTCAGTTGAACAGTTTAATGGGAAAGGCAGTTTTGCTCTTGGTAAAGGAGAGTAATGGAAGCCTGAAGAAATGGAAGCCGTGTTCAGGGATGCTTGGATCAACTGCGAAAGTTGATGTTGAGGAAGAAGACAAAGGCCTCTTTCTTCTTACCTCACTTTCAGATTTGTACGAGAACCTTGTGAAACTTTAATGCATGGAAAGATACAGTAAGTTTGGAGCAGGTGCAAGCTTCTTTGGTGTGAAATGATACACAAAGGAGACCATGGATGATGGTGGGCACAAGACTGCTTAAGTTATTCAAGGTTGGAATCGTGGAAGAAAATTGGAAAGAGGATTTGAGAGAGACAGCAGGTTCAGATCCGGTTCCGAAGGCAAGGGTCCACAGTGCTACGAATGCAAGGCTGGGTTGTAGCAATTTTGTGGCGGAAGACTTCGAGTATGCCCTCTAGGTACTCGAAGCAACACTTCTCCTGGTGATGTATAGTCTAAAAGTGTTTGCAGGGGTTTTGCAGCAGGTGGAGCTATAGGATTCACAGGTGATCAGATGGTACTGAGGAAAGGAAGTGTGGGAATTTTGTCTGGTTCGATGGGTTGTTGCTGGAAACGGGCGCGCTGACGAGTTTCCAGGTTGCAGACAATAAAGAGGAGGAAAACCTGTTGGAGGAGACGAGGGTGTGTCGAGATCCTGTCTGAAGCTAAATTGTGATTTTTAGCTTGCAGCAGCTGCACATGCATTGGCAGTGACTGAATTGGAATAGGACCAATGAGGTGGATTCAGAGTGTGCATGCTGGTACGTAAGGCCAATGGACTTTGGTGATGGGTGCAAGGATTTTTGCACTGTATATTCGCCAAGGTGGAGATTGTTGTGATTGGCTCATATTTTAAGCTGGCAACAATGAAGTGACCCATGTGTTTTCGGCAGTGGATGATTTGTGCAATTGTGCATGCTTTGCATTTAGTGGAAAAATAATGTGGTGCACTTTCGGATAAATAGTGGAAGACATGTTTGCTTGAGATTCTTTCCACTTTGTCCTTGTTTTGGTTTCCCATTGGAATGCCACGTGAGTGGCTTTGAGTTTGGTCAAAAGGCAAAGCAGAAAGTAGGAGCATCATGATGCATCATGATTATGTTTGTAAAGGAATGAAAGTTTATTTTTTTTCTTTGTTTAAAGGCAGAAGCAGGGCATTAGAGAGAGTGAGAGCATTCGGCTCTCTTCTAAGAAGGCATCAGAGAGCATCCAAAGGGGGAGAGCATTCGGCTCTCCCATGGGAAAGCATGGGCATGGGTGAGAGAAAAATCAAGAGAGCTAGAGTGAAAAGTATTCTAGTGAAAGAACTCTTGGGGTAGAGTGAGGCTCTTGGGAAAATTCCATGAGTGGGTGTGCAAGGGATACGGGATTGGGTTATGTCGATTTAACTCATGTGTACTTGTACTGTTATTCTCATAGTGAAGAGCAATATCTCTCCGGGGACGTAGGCAGGATTTTTTGCCGAACCTCGTAAATTTCTTGGTGTCTTTATTTCTTGTATTTTATTCTGTTTAACTGAGTGTGATTTTGGTGAGGTTGTAATCTGAATCTCGTTTCCGCACTAATGAACGGACCAAGGCACAACATCTCGTGCTTCAATCTGTGTTCCTTTTTTGTTATTTTGGATTTGATTACAAAGCTTCAATCCAAGACATTCCAATTTTTCAACTGATTGATCGAAAACAAAACAAAACTAATACGGCTGCAAATGTGGTAAAGTCTTGTAAATATGCCATCTGTTTACTGAAGAACTGTTGAGACTCCTGACTCCTGTGGAAACTACATTACCGTTTGTGTTATATGGAGTACATGCAGGTTCTTGAATCAGTACCATTGTTTCGTTGAATTGCAATGAGCAGGTCTCTCGAGATTAACAACAGACGAAAAGCTTAGAGAGGCATTTTCCCCATTTGGGCAGATTGTAGATGGTAAATGTTGATTCAGCTTGTTTTTTTTTTTTTTTCTCTCCTAACACTTCTTACATCGCTTTAACCGGAACTCATTGCGTTTGTTGATCATGCAGCGAAAGTGGTTATCGATAGGGTGTCTCAAAGATCAAAGGGTTTTGGTTTCATTACATACGCATCAGTTGAAGAAGCCGAGAAAGCTAGAGAAGGGATGAATGCCAAGTTCTTGGATGGGTGGGTTATTTTTGTCGACCCTGCCAAACCTAGGGAGCCTAGATTTCCTCCTCCTCCGCAAGCACAGCAGGACCCTTCTGAAACCGGCTTCAGATCAAACAAGACCATCGGATGGTGTGGATGATGGCTGCATTAGTTACTTCGGTTTAATCTCATTGTGATGAAAAGGAGGGCAGTTTAAACGCTGTAAACTCTCTGGTTATTTGTATTGAGAAATACGAAACACTTACTAGGTGAATGAATTATTGGAAGTGCTATTGATACATTAAATTTCCCTTGATTGTGCATGAATGATTCGTTAACCTCTATCTGGACGATGGACTGTAAAATACAATGGAACTTACACTAATTTTGTTACGCTTGCACTACGAAAATTAGATAGAGGGATTCGACAAATAATAGATGCACTATAAATTGAGAGGCGGTGTTTTTGAAGTCCTTTGTATATAGCTTTATAGTGCATAAGTGGTTCATTCGGAAAAACACATCGATCGTCATACCCTTTAATTCATTTGTGTACGAGTTTTCTAGCTTTTGTATATCCCCACAAGGCAAGCCTGTCACATCTTTTATCCAGCAACAATGTCTTCCAAGCAAATTCTACAAACCTTACTTTTGCACGCATCTTTTTCCTTCTCGACCCTCCTCCTCCTCCTCAACACCGTCTTCACGAAGATCGTCAGTCACCCCTCCTTCTCAAAGATTTTATGCTCCTAAAGTATATGTCAGAAATATAAAGCCTCATCTTGGCACCATTTCCTTCATCAGAGTCTACCGAGCCCAAATCACAAACTGTGCTTGTTTTTTTCGCTTGTTGAAGGTTCTTCTTTTTCTTCAAAGAAATAATTGACGTAGTATTTATTATTTATGATGAGTGTGAAGTTGAGCTTGATTTTAACCGTGTCAAGTTGATCATGGTGGTTTAGATGGTCTAGTACTACTCTTGTGGCAAGAGACTTCACGTCACAAGTGAATGCCCGATGTGCCTCGTGATAGACTTTCTTATAGACTTCTATTGCTGAATAGTCCAAAGAAAATAGTGCTATAGCAAATAGTACTGAGGAATACTATAGAAAATGGCTTAATATATATATATATATATATATATATATTTTCAATCCATGTGGACAAGTTTGTTTTAAACCAATATGAGGTATTCTAAAATACCTTTGTTTACAAAAAAGATCACTTTCATATCACTCAGCTTTTCCGGAGTTTGATTCTTATATTATTACTTTGTTAGTATCACACTCAATTTTTGGGTCTACTATGGAAGGTCTAACCTAGAAAAAAATGAGTGTGATATCAGTATATTGAACTCATAGCGAAATCCTACGCCTATAGTTGGACGGAAATTTTGAATGTGATACCAGTATATTGAAATCTTGAGTTCAATATATTAAACTCATGAATGTGATAATGATATATTAAACTCACACTAATATAGTATTATTATTGGTATCAAATCTAAGATGTCTGATTTATATAGATAATTATTACACTCACTTAAACTCCCGTACAAATTAGAAACATTACCACAAACAGTAGTGTTAAGAAGTAACATTGTCATTAACTTGTCTTTGAACTTGTTATATGTGGCTTGGTAAACTATAATCTTGTCTTTGAACTTGTTATATGTGGCATTAACAAGTTAAGTACCAACCAAAACAAATACAACAAAGCCCAAAACAAGTTAAGGACAACAAAAGAAAACGGCCCCATTCCAAACTTGGAGCTCACTACACACAAACAAACTACACAGAAGAACCCTGGAAAACTAAGCTTTCAGAAGCTGCAGACAACATCGTCGCCGCCACCAGAAAACCGGGCGATCCTGTAACACTGTTCATAATCACAGTGACCTTCCTGTCTTACCCCTGCTAAGTTTGCATTATTATATTTTTACACGGACAATAATGTCCCGCACTCGTCTCGTTCCTCCTAAACCCTAAGCAGGTGATTCAAATTGAAATTCCTCTCCTTAGACCTTTGGAGCTTTGTTCGGTTTCAAGCTTTTCGACGGTAATTGGACGATTCCTCCGACGCCGGCCATCAAGGTTAGTCTGAAACGATTCCTACCTTATTGACCTATTGCATGTCAGAATCTGCTTCCAATTTGTGATTTAATATAATTGGGCTTTAGAAAGATCTTCATGATTTTGTCTAATCCAATTTCACGATTAGCAATTTCGCCTGGGATGGGGACTGCAATTTCATCTGCTCCAAACAAATAGATTCTTTTTAGTCTGAATTTAGAAAATTATATTCGAATTTTGTTTTACATCTGATTCGGTTGGATTTAGGGGTTGTAGTGTTTCCTGGCCTCAGTTTTATATAAAGAAAAAAGAGAGATTTTTTTTTTTTTGTATCCTAAAGAGTTCATCATGATGATCGACACGAGTCTCATATTATCAAGTAAGATGCCAAGTCCTCTTGCATTCATGTATTTACATTTGTAAGCTGCTTTTCTGGGTTTTTGTTGATTTGTTTGCTTATCTGGTATATACAAGAAGAGTGACACCGGCACGAACATTATCAATTTATACATGAAAAACGTCACACTTGGGCCAATCTAACCATTTATTTTGTGTACATCACATCAGCAAAATAATAAAACATATGACAGCAGGGTTTTTTCAAGTCAATTTTTGTTGGCATGTTGTTGTTCATGTAAGTGTTGATTTGATAAATGTGAGTGCTTTTGGCATTTTATGACAAAGAAGAAGAAGAATAGGATGTATGCTATAGCATGATGAGTCTGAGAACTAAGATGTGAATTGTATGGAGGTAAGCAACAGTTATGTGAGATATGTGAATTGTATGTAGGTAAGCAACAATTATGTGAGACATGTGAATTGTATGCAGGTAAGCAACAATTATGTGACTGTTTTTGCTAAAAAGATTGTGTGACTTTTTGATATATTGTTCATTACAAAACAAGGAAGAATAGGAAGAAAGTGTAATATATCTCTAACTATTCGACTTTGTTCCAAGCAATATTGTTTGGTGAAATAGTTGTGTTAAGATATTGGAGAAAATTAAAAATATTTAAAATTCATTTTGAGGAGGTGAAATTTGGATACCAATTCTCAAGATCAGTGGTGCCACAAAGCGGCATATGAAGTAGGAGTCTTTTTAACACCTAAAACTTTGTCCTTCTTACGTCCACTTTACGGTTTGAAACGTTTTGGCAGCAAAAAAAATAGGAAGAATACGTCTAACGTTTCGGCGGCCGCAAAACCCCCACTCGCCTCCACAACAAAACCTTAAAACCACCGTTTTCAAATCCAACTCCAAAAAACACAGTATATTCGGATACGATCGTCGAGATGTATCTCTGCGTTCCTCAATCAGTCTCCGTCAAATTCCCAGCAATCCCTTGTTTCGGTTCGTCTAGACGGGACTTCAAGATTCCCGCTATTTCCATGTCTGCCATTGAAGTCTCCCGTCACATTCCGGCAGCCCCCATTTTTCTGCCTGAAGGCCCTTGGAAGCAGGTTGACCTATACGTCGTCGTTTTTGTTTTAATTTTTGCATTTTGCCGTGCAATTTCATTTTCATGTTTATTCAATTGATCAAGACTGTGACTTTGTTTGTGATTCTATAGATTCCCGGTGGAGTTACTGCTGCAGAAGGATTCAAAGCTGCCGGATTATATGGCGGTCTTCGTGCCATAGGCGACAAGCCTGATCTCGCTCTTGTTACTTGTGATGTGGATGCCACATCTGCTGGTTAGTAGTTAATCACATTTTGAACTATTTGGTTTTGTGTAGCTTTTTGTTTTCGTAACAATTTTTATGTTGGGTTAATCGCAGGATCGTTTACCATGAATGTGGTAGCAGCTGCGCCGGTGTTGTATTGCAAATCAGTATTACACACTTCAGAAACGGTGTGTTGGATTGTCTTTTGTTTCCATGATTCTTTTCCTTATTAGCGAATTAGGCTTGGATTATTGTAAATTTAGTGTTGTGTTTCGTATTTTCATGTTTTGTTTATGTGCTAATGACAAATTTTTACGACTTGTTAGGCGCGAGCAGTTTTGATCAATGCTGGTCAAGCCAATGCAGCAACGGTAGGACATTTATCGAGGCATATTTTCAATTTATCGTTTATTTTGTTCTCCAAAAACTTTGTAGCTCTTTGAATCACTCTTTGATCATGTTGTTACGTTTAGGTTTTGCACAAATAATATATGTTCCAATTCTGTCCAGGGTGATGCGGGATATCAAGACGTGATAGAGTGCTCAAGCAGCCTTGCTGAGGTATGTGGAGAGCGACAAACACGTGAATCTCATAGATACTCTTGCATAGGCTTTTTTATCCCTTGTAAACATGAATCTTTGTGGTGCAGCTACTTCAATTGAGACAAGAGGAAGTGCTGATTGAATCGACTGGTGTGATTGGTCAAAGGATAAAAAAGGTAATAATATAGCCACCATATTTTTGTTTCCTTGATATTCTTATTTCTAATCATATTGATTTGGCAGATATATAACATGACATAGTGTTGTATAAGCGAATCATTCGTTAATTCTCCTATGCAGGAAGCACTTCTAAAATCTCTTCCAAAACTGGTTAATTCACTATCATCGTCAACTGAGGGGTAAATGTTAATGCTTGCAAACTTAGCTCATATCGTGTTTATGTCCATGATCGTATTTCTTTTCAGCATTGAATTTCCAAGTATCTTTATTCTCTTTTATCTAAACTGACTGTCTTGTTTGTTGGGCTCATGCTATTCTTTTTGTTGTGAAACTATGTGGCTTAAAAATTAGATTTCATCTCACTAATGTGCCATTTTGGATCGGTCTGTAGGGCAGATGCTGCAGCAGTAGCAATCACAACAACCGACCTTGTTAGCAAGAGTGTGGCAATTCAGTCTCAGGTCAAGTTGTTTCCTATATTTATATCTTTGTTTCCTAGTAAATATTAGTGATTGCTTGTACAAGTTTTGATAGTCTCTCGACCAATGACCCAATCAGAAGCAACTCTTATGTTGCTTGCTTTTGTTTAAGTTATTTTTTTAATGCATAATCAGCAATGCCAAAATGTTGGCATTACAATTTCGAAGTTTATTTACTCTCTTTAATGTAAATTAACTCTCTTGTTCTTTAATTGTGATCTAGCTATTGTATATTACTACCAAGTAAACAACATTGAAAAATCAGTCAGATCCTTACAAAACTGGTGATTTGCTCAGGTTGGTGGGATAAATATAAGAGTCGGGGGAATGGCAAAAGGTTCCGGGATGATCCACCCAAATATGGCTACCATGTTGGGG